TCTAGTCTTTCACTGCTAAATTAGGAATGGCTAGCACAGATAGCCCTCATGTAGACTTTGCACAAATAAAAAACAAACAAAACAAAGTGAGGTCTTATAACACTAAAATCAAGTTTTGATACCCACATTGGGCAGAGCATAGCAAGCTCATTATGTAGCTTTGTGCTTAACAACAAACAATTAATCAAACTTCACATGTATATGTAATAAATTATTCGGGAAATATGTGCAATGGTAAATGCCTAGATATACAGTGACAACGATAGTTATCCAGACAGTGCCATATCTGTTATTTTGTTGTAATATTTTTATGTTGAATTTGTATGTTTGAAACAAGAAGTTGGTTAGTTTTATTTAGTATTTGTATATTTAGTCAACTGGTAAGTAAAATTGAAACATTTTATCTTCTAAAATATATTTTTTAGATGAAAGATTTTATGCCAGATATACTCGAACCATTATTCAGACTAAACATTCACTGGTAATTATCATTTATTTTATTATTTTGCCTTAATAACAGCTTTCAGTCTTTTTGTCATACTGTACATCAACTGTCTGGTTCGGTGTTTTTCAGTGTTTCCTGTAGGCTTTTTCATAATTCTTTGTTAAATTTAACAGTTCTTCCCTTCATCCCGGAACCTAGTTCATCCCACAGATCTTCAACGTGATTGAGATCATTTGTTGTGGGAACTGATCTTCCATTCAAAGACCATTTTATTTTCCACCAAGCAGCCTTGAACAAGTTTAAATATGTGTTTGGGATCCCAATCTCTTTGGAGAAGAAACTTCCTTACATTTTAATTCCTAGCTGACTTCTTCAGATTTCTTTATAGAATATTACTCTCCAGTCATATTGCCTTTTATTAATACAAATTCACCAACTCCCCTTCCTGTACACTCCTGTACTTTAATGTCATCTCTTCCTTGAATCATGGTGGGCTGCAGACACTCCTCTTACAATTCTTCTGATGGCTATCACTCTTCCCTTGCCATTCACTCCCATACTTTAATGTCATCTCTTCCTTGAAGTCATGGTGGGATGCAGACATTCCTCTTACAATTCTTCTGATGGCTATCACTCTTCCCTTGCCACACACTCCAATACTTTAATGTCATCTCTTCCTTGAATCATG